ACTAACTTGATGCAACAGGCAGAATAACTAGATCAATATGGAGTGTTAGAAGATGCTATGTGGAAGACATGGACTTGATAGAAAGAACCTAAACACCGTACAACTTCAATGCTTCCTTTGGCAAGGAAGGGTCCCATCAATAACCTATTAAAAACCTTGTTTAATTTTTTCTATAGATTTGTCTGTTTTGTTATGTTCCAACAATCCCACAGCTGGTGTAAGCTGCTATTCCATACATAGAAAGCTTCTGCTGCTTTTCCACTTCAGGAAACCTTGGAACTGAAGAGGCTCCTTTAGGGAAACAAAAGTAAAGCACTAAAGATGGAAAGCACTGGCTCCTGGGAGGTTTGTCCTATAGAAAGCCTGGAGAAATGATGTCTTTTCTGACCTCTGGTGTAAAGGAATAGCATTACAAAGCACCAGTATAGGGATATATTCCATGGTATCCAAACTTAAAAAAATCTAGAGAAATAAAAGGTTTAATTAAAGGTTTTTAATTTAAGGGCCTTCAACCTATGCACCTGCAGTTTACCACAGGAAAAGGAAGGCTACTGAACACTTATGACCACCCTTCACAACACAACTGCCATTGAAAGGGTTCTCATAACTCAATAGTCACTGTTTTAGTTCTAAGTATGGACAATCTTACACTAACCAGCCAGTCATAAAACAGGATTTTCAGGTCTCTCCTCCACATGCTATTCCCTTTCTATCTGTCTTCTCCTCCCCCTCCTGCCTCTCACTCGGGGGACAGCGGAGCCCAAACGGTCGCTTGCGCCACTTGCTCCTGCACAGTGGCCTGGCTGAGCAATGCAAAAGTCAGCTGAGCGCCACTGTGGGAAGCGATGTTCCCAGCCAGGGGGTGGAGCCTGGAGCCACTGTCACACCACACATCAGCACCCTGCCCCCCTTTGCCTCCCACCGTGGTGCTCAGCTGACTTCTGCGCTGCTCAGCCGGGCCGCCGCGCAGAAGGAGACGAAGGCGAGAGCAAAGGAGGGTGGGGCGGTGATGTACATGGCCAGGCTCCACCCCCTAGCCTTGTATGTCACCACCCAGCCCCCCTGCCCCTCCCGCCATGGCGCTTGACTGACTTCTGCACCGCTCAGCCGGGTCACCGTTGGGGAGCCCAAATGGCCACTTGCTCCCCCGTGGAGGGCCGGCTGAGCGGTGCAGAGGTCAGCAGAGCATCACAGCTAGAGGCGAAGGACGTGACTGAGGCAACAGCGCCGCCCAGAGGCAACAGCCAGCATTTCAGCATTACAGAGTCACAGACATTCGCCTACTATATATGATAATGCACAAGAACAAAAATAAGAACAAACAGTAATTTGTTTTAAGAGGGGTTTTAGAAGAAGCTCAAGCTGTTGGAGACTGCACATTTCCCAAGGATCAAATACTCTCAAACAGTCACTTATCTCCAGTGCCTTCAAGACAGAAGCATAAGTTATTCCAAACCATCACGGTTTAAACTGTATTTAAGATGACTTTACAATCGTGCGACATAATTCAGAATTACAATAACCTAAATGTGTGAGGTAAAATTCTAATGGAATAGCACATTTGAATAATTATTTACAAATAAGAGATTAAGAAGAGTTTATATGTGATATGATTGTGAACTTTGCATCAGAAAGATTGCTCATCTCTGAGCAGACAGCACAAGTTAAGCATAAGCACCAAGAACATACATCCAAACAGTGGGGAAAGTTTTGCTATAGTTAGCTTTGACTTGGTTTGATTTTGACTGAAGCAATATAAAGGCAAGGAAGGATTAAGAACGCTTTGCTGAAATTAAATCTCTACATACTACAGACCCATTGAAATTAGTGAGTTAAAAACAGAGTAACCACGTAACAGCTGAAAATCTCAGCAGTTACATGGTTACCCGCAGTGTGGTTTCTGAAGTATAATGCTTTCTACTGCAGAGCCTGTAGCAAAGCCTTTGCCCCGGAAGCAAAGCTGGCAGCCCTTGCCGGCCCGGCTCCTGGAGAAGATGCTTTGATGAGTGTAATCAACACAATTAAGCAATAAGCGTATCAATTAATTGTTAGTTGTTTACACTCAAACGTTCCTAACTGAAACACTGCAAAATATAATGGTTAATCATACTTTAAGATATGTTTTTAAGTGTGCTGCGGCTCAGAGGGTTGAATATAATCTAAATATTGAAGAGTGCCAAGTGACAACTAAAGAATGCTCACATCTACTATGGGTGCTAGTGTTTAACCGATGCTAGCATTTAACCAATGCTTATTGGTTAATGGTACAGTAATTCCTCATTTAACATGCTAGATGCGTTTCTGAAAGTGTCTGTGCTAAGCGAAAAATGCTATGCAAAAAGTCAATTTTCCCATTAAAAATAATGGAAAAGGTGGGGGTTGCATTTCAGGTGGTGGTGGCAAAGCCAATTTTTTCTTGTTGACATTGAGGACCCAGCACCATTAGATATCTAGCAACACAAGTCACCAGAGTTTGTTAAAGCACGAAGATAAACACGAGTGGAGGAGCGCTGTGACGTGTATTCATCCGCTTATGGGTATTACCGCTGTTTTCACCAACATATACCTTTGCATGAAGTACTCCGCCACTCAATTATTTTCAAGTTTTCAGAGACAGTCATGTTATTTGAAAAACATTACCTAAAGAAATCGTGCTCTTACAAAAATGGGTTAAGTGGGCAAGTGTTAAATGAGTAATTACTGTATTGGTTAAACTCTGCCTCCTTGGCCAGCAGGAGTTCTTAGCCCCAATCTCATGGATCTGCAGTATAGAGCTTAGCTTTATACCACAGAGCCCACAGTGCATATAACTGCTAGTATCTTTAGCAGTTACTGTACTTAATCATTTGTAATGTCCCTATCTTCTATCCTGCTACAGAACAGGAAAAGCCTTCATTGATACATCAGCTGCACCACCAATGTGCCATCCATTTAGAGAGGATGCCACTCTAGGAAAAAGCAAATTCAGTCCTCCTATGCAGCTGGTTCAGAGCGAGAGCAATAAAAGGAAGGCTGTGATGCTGGTCAGCAACAGCAGACATTACCCACAAGGAAGGCAACTGCAAATAAGCTTTGCAATACCACCCTGGGCCTACTTACAGGTCAAAAACAAGGTATCCCCAGTTCTGCTGTTACCTTTGAATGAAGTAAAAAGGCTAGAGTACAGTTATGTTATCTGCTTATCAGTTTAAATGAAGCAACTGTTCCTAGTTAAAAATGACAGATTTGAGAAAGGTTGGTTACTGAAACTAGGATAAAAGAAGTTGGCTTGCCCAGCTATATAATTAGATAGTATCGATCTGATACCTAACTGAAATTTAGATGTTATTTAATTTCCTCTAGAGAAGGAACTAGAATATTAAAAGACTTAGTAATTCTCACCTCAATGCCAAACACAAAAGAAAGTGTTTTTCTTTAACTTCATGTTTATCTAAATAAGTAGAGATTTATCCCACGGAGACTCCCATCTTTCCAAATTATGAAATGAAAGATCTATATCAATTCAGTACTGTTCTTGCTGTTTATTATCAAATGCAGACTTTAAGGTCTTAATACCACATAAGATGCCCCATAACACAAGGACCAGGAGCAGAGTGGATCTGATTTAAATCAGTAGTCAGGAACACTGAATGGAATCATTTTTTCTACATAAAAGTGCATTCTTGTAGGCTGTTATAACTTTAATACAGTCTCCTCTACTCAGACACACTGTTCTCTTCTAAAAATGAAACCACTATACATTTTTAAACTGGATTTATTTTGAATACTTCTCCGATTCATTTTACAGCTATAAAAACCATGGAATTTTTTTTGATATTTCATTTATCAAAGGTAATTGAAGCAGATGTTTACCACTCAGTGACTACATAAATTATCTCCGATTCAATTTGAGAAACTTTAAATATTGGCTTCTCATTAAATTTTTTGAAACTGCACTTTTTAAAGGTAAGGAATTGACTCTGCACACAAATTTGCGAGGATAACAGGGTTGAGGTCTGTTATTTTTCCCCTCTATATTCATTTATAAACATTTTTGCTGTTAAACATTAGCTCTGAGGACACAAATCCAGTTTCAGAATGCAAAGTAAGCAAAAATGTTTAGCCTAGGCATCTTCTAGACTGTGTTCATAAATCCCATGGCATACATAAAAAGATTAACCCAAATAATCTATACAGAAACCTCTGGAACTCCATAAGATTGGGTCTCTAGTTCATGATCAATTGGAACTCATTTACAAAGCAAATATTAATTAGAATTTATAATAGTGTTCCATGACAAGATTTTGCACTATGCAACTCCTCCTCCCCCCCCAAAAAAAGAATTTTAACTATTTAAAAACAAAAACCCATTTTAAACAATCATTGGTTTTTATCCACCCTGACCAGAGATCACCAAATTAAATATTTAACAGGTTTAAGTCAAAAGGAAATATTTCACACAATACTCAAGACAACCTGTGGAATTCCTTGCCAGAGGATGGTGTGAAGAGTCCAAGACTAACGGGTTCAAAAAAAGCTAGATAAATTCATGAAGGATAGGTCCATCAATGGCTATAAAAGTCTGTATGGGCATGATGTCCTTAGCCTCTGTCAGAACCGGGGGAATGGGACCAATCACTTGTTACTTCTTTTGCTCATTCCCTCTGAGGCACCTGGTACTGGCCATGGCTAGAAGACAGGATGCTGAGCTATACAGACTTTTGGTCTGACCCAGCATGGCAATTCTTATATTCTGAATACAAATCTATGTAGTTATGTATAAAATACTACTATTAAACTCAAAAGTAGCAACAGAACAAGCATGATTCTTCAAAGATCATACCTTTCCATTCATATCTCTGGCAGCATCTTTTGCATCTGCTGGGCTCTCAAAAGTGACAAAAGCAAATCCTCTGGACTTGTTGGTTTCTCGATCCTTCATCAAGAGAACTACAAATAGAAACCTAAATGTTACTCCACTTTTCATAAGTCCAACAGCATAATCTACCCCTTACAGTGGCCTGCTCAGAACTTCTTAGAGGACAATGAAAGCAATATCACTTCAGCTGATCAACGCCTTAAGATTCATCACAGCACAACTTTTGAGTTAGTATCCAGTTAAAGTTTCACTTTTTACCTTCCACAATGCGCCCATATTTGCCAAATACAGCCTCGAGAGCTTTCTCATTTGTCTCTGTATTCAGTCCACCAATGAACAGTTTCCCAGGACGATCTGCTTCAACCATTTTGATTCTATTAGGACCTGTTAAACAGAAGTTCCATTACTGATATGTGATGGCATTAAGATTTGAGAAGAAACTGTCTCTCTTCTATAAGGAGTCATTGAAATATTCTCTCAAATTCACATCATCTCCCCCTCCCAACTTCTCTATCCCCACCACATATGAACAATTTGGCCTAACCTGGTCAGTTAGAAACTTGGTAAGAAATTGACAAAGACTTCAAAAGTTTCAGGACATAACCCTGTTAGCTGTGCACCCAAAAGCTCATGACACCATGTACATTGTTTGTTAGGTGTTTACATGCATGAATAAGCCGTATGAACACAGAATATCAATTTTAAGACAGTATCAAAATTATAAATATTAGAATGCCAATAGAGGACTATATAATTTGTCTCCTTTAGAACAGTGGTGTCCAACACACTAGCCACATGTGGCTAATTCGTTCAACTGGTAGCCAGTGCTTCAGAACTGGACACCAGGGATCTAGAAAGACGAACATGCTACAAAATACAGTGCCAGGGATGCCTGATTTTTTTTTCTGACCAGGCCTTCATAATCCCTGCTTTTACCCACACGAAATAGGACTGGTGGTTTATGGACCGAAGCAGTGACTCTCAAATCCTAAGGAACCAGAGTAAAATTCTCCCCCCAGAAGGAAGGAAGCAGGGCCCTGCAGCTGCATTTAGAAGGGCGCAAAAACCCCCTCCAGAGTAAATCGCTTCTGAGCCGGGCAGTCCGCTCATTCCCAGACTCGGCTCAGACCTCACTGGGACGTTGCTGAAGAGCTGGTCGTCCAAGCCGCCCCAGGGGCCAACTGTAGCGCACGGGCCTCAGTCGCTACTCAGGGCGGGCCTCTCATCCGAAGGCGGGAAAACCAGAGCGCCCCCCCCCCTCTCATACCGAAGGATCGGCAGCCCCCGTGCGGCCCTTTCTGTGCAGCGCGGAGCCGGGCCAAGCGCTGCGGCCGGGGAGTGGAGCGCGCGCGGGCTCCGCAGCCAGCCACAAAGGCAGAGGCGAAGGCGCTGGACAAGACGCGGGAAAGGGGGGGGGGCGGGGAAACGAGCGTTAGACCCCCCCCCCGCGCCTCGCGACGCTACCACAAAATGGCGGCCACGTGCGGCGGGGATAATCTCCCCGAGGTCGCTTCAGCAGCCGAACGGGGAATTACCGGGCCACGTGTTGTCTGCCCGCCATCAAGCCACCCCAAGGTCAACCAAGAGCCTCCCCACCCCGCACGCACTCACCGCGCGGCCCGGCCGGCGGGACCCGAAAAGGGCCTTGCACCTAAAAGGGCGGCCAGCGCGCCTCACGCAGAGGGACACCCCACCCACCCCTCTTCCCACGCGCACCCCACGAATCCGCAGGCCGGGCGCGGCGCGAACCTGCACCCAGAGCCCGGCCTCACCGCTGCGGCGCGGGAGGAAGTTTTAACTCCCCGAGAGACTTGCGGGACCGGACCCCCTCCTTCCCTATCTCTTTAGGGGTCCTCTCTCCTGCTTCCGGGGCCTGCTCGCCATTCCCGCCTACCCCAGCCGGCACTCACCGCCCCTCCGACTCCCGTCCTCGCAGACCGAGCTGCAACTGCGCAATGAGAGCGAACAAAGACGCTGCAGGCCTTTATATACGTGACGTCACCGCTTGGCAGGCGGCTGCGAGACCCGGATGCAGCGTGCCCCGGCGCTGTGGGGACAGACTTGTAAGGGGCGAGGGGCCCGGGACATGGTAGTTTCAGGGGGGCCACCAGGGCTCTGCTTTGTGGGGCGCGACTGCCTGTAGAGATGCTGAAGCCCGGGGTGCAGCACCCCCGGCTTGGAGAGGTTTCCTTCAGCTACAGGGTTTGCAAGTGGTTCAAATCTAGCAGCAGCCCCTAACACATTGTCCCACCACCTCTGCGGGGGGGAAAGGGCCTGGAGCCAGTCTGGTGCTGCTCTGGGTCTCACTGCAGATTCAGCCTTGCCTGCAATGAAAAATTAGATGGGCCCAGCCTCCAGGCAGGCAGGGTTCATGGATTCTTTGGGCCTCTTCTGGAGATGGATTACCCACAGGGATGGAAAAAAAACCGCTTCTGAGGAGGTGGGGACCTCCAGCACCACAGTCCCGGAGCCAGAGCTGTGCAGCCATGTGTCTAGTGCAAATACCTGGACCTGATGCAAAGCTACACCCAGTTTTTATGTTGCTGCCTAGTCCCACTAGGAATGTTAAAGATTGGTTAATTGAATTGTCGAGTAACCTCATGAAATTTTATTGGTTAGTTGACTATTCTATAGTCCCCAGGGGTGGGGCCGGCAGCCACTGTATCAGAGGCAGCAGCTTGTGGTGCCAGGTGGGAGCTGGTCCATGAGGGGTGCTTGTTTTAAAACCAGCTCCCCTCACAGACCAGTTGACTGTTGCCTTGTACTGCTGCTTCTGACAAGGTGGCAGCAGTTCCTGTCTAGGGGGCGGGTCTGAGCTCCCAGACCTAGCACTAGCCAGAACTGAGCTGGGCTGCTTGCCTGCCCACCCAGCTCTTAATACACTTGAAATGCAGAGCTGAAATGGGGGTAGGTTCCAGAGCCAGGACTGAGCCAGGCTACCGGCCAGCCTGCTAAAAATGTATTGTCAGGGAGAGGTGGAGAGGGAAATGCATGTAGTCTATAGCATTAACCTATAAGATTTTGCTAATAGGTTAATCAACTACATTATTACATCCCTAATCCCCATGTCTTCCACCCTAGCATGTAGTATAGTTACTACTATAGCCACAGAAGGGATTTTTCTGTTGCTGTAGTAAATCCATCTCTCTGAGGGTTAATCTCAACTAATGTTGTACAGTAGAACCTCAGTGACAGAGACACTTTGTGATTGGAGGTTGTAATGTCCATAACTCTGAAATGTTTTGTAACTGAAAAAGAGATTAAGGACTTGAGTGGGGGTGGAGTTGAGGATGTGTGTGTCAGAGCTTCTCACTCGTGAGGTAACAAGGCAGGGACCTCAGAGCTTCTATACTGAAGGAACACCATGGCTTAGGGCTTTAGACCTGGTGGGAGCACTGGGATTTGGGATCTCATGGCTGAATTACAGTTTACACCTCTAAAATCTGGGATTCTCTGGTCCTGCAACATCCATGGTCTGGCATGACCACAGATGTTCCAGGATGAGAGAATCCCAGCATGCTGCAGAAGGGTGGGGGCCCAAGAACCAGCATGCAGCATATCTGGGCTGCGGGGGAAGTGGGGCAGAGAGCCAGTGTGTGGGTCTCTGGGCTGCGAGGGGAGCCAGGAAGCACGGGGGTGGGGGGAGGAGGAGGGAGGGCAACAGCAGGGGGTCTGAATGATTTCCCCTGGTATGGAAAAATCCCTTATCTGGGACCAGTCAGGTCCCGAGGGTGCCAGACCAGGGAGGTCCAACCTGTACCCATTTCAGCTTCCAAGAGGGCAATGCCAGGACTTAGGGCTCTCTAAGACTGCCTTCCTGGCTTCAATGGGATGAGTTTGGGGCTTTAGCTATTCTATAGCCAGTAGGGAGCATGCTGGGGCTGAAACCCACACTACTAGTAGTATCTATACTACATAACTAAACCCACACTCATAACTAAAGTACTGTGCTTTCCTCTTCCCCCTGCCCCCCGCAGTGGCTGGAGTGTTAAGCCATGGGACAAGTGGGGCCTGTGAGAACCTAAGTAGCAATCACTGGGCTAACAAGGTAATTGGAAGAATATAAGTGGAAGAAACAGAAAACCAAGGCTATGTCTACACTCGTGGCTTCTTGTGCAAGAACATCTTGCACAAGGGTTCTTGTGCAAGAACTCGTGCTCAAGAAAACGTCCACACTGCCATGTGCATGCTGTGCTTTTGCGCAAGAGCTCCCATGGCAGTGTGGACGCTCTCTTGCTCAAGAAAGCTCCGACGGCCATTTTAGCCGTAGGGCTTTCTTGCGCAAGAAATCCCTGCCGAGCGTCCACACTGCCCTCTTGCGCAAGAGCTCCTGCGCAAGAGGGCTTACACCTGTTAAAAAAGAGCGTAGCTCTTGCGCAAGGAGCCCTCTCTTACCACGCCGTACTGTAAATTTCCTTGCGCAAGAGCAGGCGGACAGTGTAGACGCTCTGTGGATTCTTGCGCAACAACAGCCATACTTGCACAAGAAGCCACGAGTGTAGACATAGCCCAAGAGGGGCAGTTCTGAAGAAGGTTCAGAGTGAGCCTTGGCTGAGGTTCACTAGATAGTACAAAGGAGGTGCCCTGTGACAACATCCTGAAAAACATATCTCAGTTCATGTGTTGTCACTGATGGCCATAAAATCAACCCATACACATAACTGGGTTTAATAAAAAAAATTGGAAAAAAAGAGAAAGCCTGCATATATATACCTAACCAAAAATCTTCTAAATTAAATTGCATATCCAAAACAAACTGCATTCCTCTCACAGATGGTTTAGTGCAGGAAAAACTATTACAAGTATAGAGTTGGGAAATCAATATAGAATAACTCAAAAGGGAATATTATTGTCTCCAGCCAAATATTAGTATCAGAAAAGATCAGTTCAAATATAACTATTTCCAAAGAAGCCTGCACAGATAACAGACCTCTGTTATGTCAATTGACAGGTATTTATAGAAATTCAATCAATTTCCTTCATAAAACTCTGATTGGAGTGGATCAAAGTAATGCAAGTCAATAATTTCCAGTTCAGTGGCTGTCAATTTTTTCTTTGCTGTAATCCCATGAGATATGCCTCCTGGGTATCTGGGGTCGAGCCCCTGCTCTCCTCCCATTTAGCAATATGAAAAGAGCATTTTTGGCCCATGAAACATTTTGTTTACCTTTGCTCAACTCCCTGAGCCCTGTTCTAGATGAAATTTCACCTCACCT